GTGGGCACAGGTGTCTCCATGGGTCAGTTTTAACCGCAAAGTTCAGGGATCCTTTATGGCAACACTTGACACAGTGTACTCTGCAAAATGGCAAGACTGCCTCAGGACTTGCAAATTTTGCAAACAAAGAGGTAGAGGTGCAGAAGATTGGAAAACAGTTGGCTTCCAGGACAACTCTGGAAATTTCGAATTTTTTCACTTCCTTCACTTTAGATGGCACACTTTGCGGCGTGGATGCACTTTTGTCGTTTTTGGTGTTCACGAGATAGGCCGTTGTTCTTTTCCACTGCTATTTGCATGCTATATGCCTTTCATCCAGAGCAAAATCCTGGTAGTCCAGCGCACTTGTGAAGTACCATTTTTCATTGTGGATTTCTATATATGCATGTTTGTAACTACAGTAATTTCGGTGCAGTGGTATGCGCTCCTTTGCTATATTTTACTAAAAGCTTGTTTTTCTGATCATGCGAGCATTCAGAACCGACCTCAGCCGAGCTGCTGACGCTGCTGGAGAAGCAGGATGAAGTGTTGTCGGCGTTGCATGGCGAACTCGAAATCTGCAAATCAGAAATGGCTGTTCTTCGTGGCACAAAATCCGGACAGCTGAATGATGACGGGGCACAGCCGAATACAATGGTATGTCCTCCTCATTTTTGAGTGAAAGTCAACCTGTTGAGCTCTGAGCAATGCAAAATTATTTTCATTTAAAAAAAAAAAAAAAATCAATAAAAGAATACTAATTAAGAGCGGAAACGGGGTATGACCTTGTCCGGCTGTGCCGGTGGATGTAGGCCAATCTCCACATTCCGGATCTTACACATTGTGTATATGTATATATATCCAGGATCACGGGAGGGAGGGGGAGGGGAAAATGGTCCCACCATATTTCCGTAAAAAAAAAAAAAATCCCAGGGGTTAAAATTCACGTTTTCCGACAAGCCCATTATCTTTTTAGCACATAATTTGTAACAGGTTTGAGGTGACAACTTCATGTTGGGCATACCAACAGCAGCTAGCTTTTCTTGATTTGGAACGAAAGAAACAGGTTTTGCTTGTCAGTCTGGTTTCATTGAATCTTTCCGTAAAGGGGTTTGTTTTCGTGTTGACGGGTTTTGATGCGTTACTCATTTTGCAATAACCGCAAGCCGCCTCTCTTCAGCTCTTCCACATTAGCGTCCAGAATTTTCTGCACACTTTCGTTTTTTTTACCGGAATGATTAAGTATCAAATATGATAAGTTTCATTAAGCCTAATAAATGAATAGTGAATTTGATAGGGATGGCTAATGCGCGATTCTAAATTTTTGCAGAATGGGCTGCTAAGATTATTGTAAATCAGTATTTTATGTAACGTTTTCGTTTTACCCCGTCAACCATTTTACGCTGCCTCATTTTGCGCCATCACCTCCCTCTTTGATTTTTTTTTTTCTTATTTCAACCGTTGTTAATATACCTTTCTATCACTTTTTTTAAGAAGGATCTCTTGAAAGGACCGGCAGAAGTTAATGCGAATCTGAGCGGCGAGCAGAAAAAACAGCTGGGACTGGAAAGTTTCCTGGAAGAAATGAAAAAGACACGTTTTGAAGCGGAA